TAATTCCTCACCTACACAGTCTCCACCAAAAGAAAAGACCTGTGGGGCTGGAAGAGTCAGCTTAAGGAGCCTTATATATTGAAGGACATGGCATTTATGACACTTCTGGTATCTATATTTCTCCACTGAAACAGGTCAAGGAAGTTAAATAATTATATCTTGGCAGCACTAATTAAAATATTACACAAAATGGGGACATAGGCAGAGAAATAGAAATACGAACTCGAAAAGTACACACCAACGCCAACATCAACACCTTTCAGTTCGCATCCCCCTTCATAAGCTTTCTATCTCACCCATAAGATTTTAAGGGACACAAAGAGACAGCTTATTATTACACGTATAGTTTCGCACCAACATCAGGCTGCCACAGACAGACTTGGACATGAGTAAAACCTGTGAAAGCAAAATCAGTGCACGCGAAATGAAATGACTCTGCAACAACGGGGGGGGGGGGGGGGGGGGGGGGGGACAGAAAGTGGAGACCAAAGCAGACGACAGAGCATGGTTAGACAGCAGGAAAGGGGGTGAAAGGAGATTCTTTTTACAAGGGAACATTTTCCATCCCTGTCAAGTATCGAGCCCCGGACCTATTAAATTGAATTAGAGGCGAACACCGTACCTCTAGACCAAGAGGTTCAAAATTTATACCCTCACGATTTTCAGTTTGTGACTTCTCCCATTTTTCCTGAGGACCCCTCATATGATTTTGTAACACCAATGCTTAAGTTAATTAAAACTGCTGAACAATCTCTGGCAGGGTTGGCTACAGATAGAAGATACAAAACATGAAATTTGAAATTTCTGCAAATATTTTATTACCTAACCTACAGGGGAAAAGAACAAGGGAAAGACCATGTGGAACTTGCAGAAGAGTCACAGAAATTGATATACCAAACAGAAAAGTAAGAAGACATGGAATAAGATCAAGAGGCTAGCCCGGGATAGGAAAAAGAGGAAAGTGTTTCTCCGTGGTCTTTTCCCTGATCCAGGGTGAGAAAGTGTTTATTTGTGGATACAGGGTGAGAAAGTGTCTATTCGTGGTCTATACCCTGATCCATCATCCAGGGTGTGAAAGTGTTTATTCGTGGTCTATACCCTGATCCAGGGTGTGAAAGTGTTTATTCGTGGTCTATACCCTGATCCATCATCCAGGGTGTGAAAGTGTTTATTCGTAGTCTATACCCTGATCCATCATCCAGGGTGTGAAAGTGTTTATTCGTGGTCTATACCCTGATCCAGGGTGAGAAAGTGTTTATCTGTCCTCGCAGAATTATGCAAATTTAGATGGCCAAATTATGCAAGACAAATGTAAAATTATGCAAAAATTATGCTAGTTACCATAACGCCATTCACGACATGTTTAGCACTTTTTCAACAAGAATTTTCAAATTTTATGTACAGAAAAATTGAAAACAGAACTTATCAGTATCAGTAGTTTTTTGTGTATCTGGAAAGAAAACAATACACATCAGTAAAAAAACAAAACAACCAAAAAATATAATCTCTGAAATTTCCAGCTGTAGAACAAGATCTAGATTAGATCTATAGAGGTAAGAAAAATGTCAACAACAAAAAAAGGACATCTGCGGGCACATCACTAAAACCAGGGACACCTGTCAAACATGAATTATTTGAATCATCAGCAGACATGAGAACAACTTTTGATGGATTGAAAAATTGAACATGCTCAACGAACAAAACTCTTAACCCATTATAACCATTAACCAAGACAGTCCAACATGGGAAATAACGAACTTGTCACTTAAATTAGATCTATTACGGAGATTACTTCCCATTAATCACATGGTGAGGTTGTTTTGTAAAAAATGGAAAAAAAAAGTGAAAAAACGCGGGGAATCCAAAATTATGCAAATGTAGCTGAATTACTCGAAAAAATACTCGCATAATCTGACCGGGACAGGTATATTCGTGGCCTACCCTGATCCAGGGTGAGAAAGGCAATGATGATGATGATAATGACTTTATTATCACAGAGGAGGCCTCTATACATTATTACATATATATTACATTATATCAGAATACTAATATCTGGCTTTCAAACATTATCGGTGGGTGGTTGGCGGATGCTCTGGTGTGGTTTGCTCCTTCTTTCCTATTGAACATCTATCATCCTTATCTCCCCCTTCTTCTTTTTTATGTTTGTTACTCTCTTGTAACACCTCTAATCTTCTGGCGCTCACATGACCTTATGCAGTTGCGAGCGCCGTAAAATTTCTACTAAAACTTAAAACTAAACATTATCGTACTATCGTTGTTAACAATTTCTCATAAAAAATGTAAGTAATACATTTAAATTTATATATATTCATATATCATATTATGTGTGTGACTTTGGGTGGGTTTGTGAGTGTAGTGTAAGCATATAGAATCTATACGGTATGACCAGAGAGGTATAACACAGACAGCTCGAATTTGTCACGACCGGCCTCCGTAGCTCAAGGGATCAGTAGTTCGCGGGATATCTTACAAAGATAAAGAAGAAGAAAAAACGGGACCGCAAGCACAGTTCGACGGATGCATGATTTCGAGTCTTCTGTGTTCGACCTATCCGTGTTATACTGTAATATTATGTGTGTATGACAGGATGTGCGCGCGAGTGTGCATGTCTGTGTTTAAACGTTTGTGAGTATGTGTGCATTTGTCTGTGTGTGAGTGAGTGTGTGTGTGTGAGTGTGTGTGTGTGTGTGTGTGTGCATTTGTCTGTGTGTGTGACGTGCATGTGCGCATGTAAGTGAGTGAGAGCGTGTGTGTGTGTGTGTGTGTGTCTGCGTGTGTGACGTGCATGTGAGCATGTGAGTGAGTGAGTGTGTGTGTGTGTGTGTGTGTGTGTGTGTGTGTGTGTGTGTGTGTGTGTGTGTGTGTGTGTCATGGGTGAAAGTACAGAAAGGTTAAAAAACAGGAGACCCGAATTTATAAAGATACCAACACCTGAAAATTAGACATATTGAGAAACATCGCCAAATAAAACACACAGAAATACTGTCACAACACGGTGGAATCAGGCGCTCGTCAATTCTTTGACATGTGGATTTATCGGTATCATCTTAATTGTTCATTTGTCTATCGACCGTTTTAAAAAATTACCAAGTTATCTTGAGTAAAAGTCAATATTTTTGCGATTGAAGGAGGTGGGGGGTGACCTAGTTTCAGAGTTAAAATTAGTGAGAAAATGATTGCCTCAGTTTGGTGATTTCTAAAGCTTGAGAGTCCTTGAAAACTGGAAATTTACATAAATTTGTGTCTTTAATGAATGTTTTTCAGTAAAATCCACACAGAAGTATGGTTTTTTTTTAATGGACATTAAAACTTTGCTAAAACTAAAAAGCAACAATTTGACAAAAATTCCCAAACCGGCGAAAAAATGTGTGCATTTTTTATTTTATTATTTTGACGAGCGCCTGATTTCACCACAATGCGTCACAATTATAAAATACAAACATTCCTCAAAGTTTAAGATAGTACACGTACCGTAGTTTCATCAATACATTCCTTTGACCCTTGTAACAACAATCCAAACAATCAGGTTCTGAGTCAACAAACAAAACAACAAAGTGTAAATGTGAACAGTGTAATGTACAGAGCAGCATGTGAATTTCTCACAGATATGTACAATTACATAACACTAAAAAGTGGCTTATCATCACAGTCTAGTTTTGGTAAAAGTAAGAGTTTAACTGCATTTACAACACACTTACGTCATACATACATACATACATACACACACACACACATACACACACATACATCATGTAATATAAGATAAGTGCTGAAGATTAGTGGAGTTACAAGAGAGTAACAAACACAAAAAAGAAGGAAGAAAGATGAGGACAATACAGTGGAAACCTGATATAACAGGGATGGTGGGTCCCTGACTGTGTTAAATCATAAATTAAATGCAAGGGAAGTAAGCCACATTTATTCATGAGTAGAGCTAGTTTCCCTTGCCACACACAAGTACCCACGAACGGCACACAGCAGCCCTCTCTCGTGGCCATGTGGCAGGCCTGCGCATGACACATTCTGCGTGCATGTAGCTAGGCTTAGGCGTGGCTTGCGTGGGCTTGCTCCATCACTGCGTTATTCTCTCTCTCTCTCTCTCTCTCTCTCTCTGTCTCTCTCTCTCTCTCTCTTTAACTTTTTACGCATTATTAACGAGCCTTTGTCCCTGCTGATTGGGCTCCGATGAGGCCCTGTTATTGCTGATAACTTTTAATAGAGACAAATAGTAGGAAAAAACGGGGATTTAAAAAAGTCCCTGTTATTACCGGATCCCTGTTATTACCGGGACTGTTATATATATGGTTTCCACTGTAGTAGTAGATGTTAGAAAGGGAAGAAGGAGCAAACCACACCAGAGCACCCGCCAACCAACCACCATCACAGTCACAGTCTCCATCAAAAAAGACACAAATCTTTAAAGCATGTGTCCTGTCACTGTCACAGTCCACGTTTGTTGCTTTTATTGTATATTGTACGTTACACATTGCAATTTTGGCTTTTTGCTAAACAACTTCAGCAGCAACATACATGTAAAGCAATGGTGCTTAGCCGTTACAGGCTTTTTATTAAGGGGGGCTGAAGGTTGAGCTGTTACAGTTGTTGAGTGTCAATGGTAGGGGCTGGATGCAGTGTCTGCAAATGTAGCTCCATAGTTTTTGAACTGTTAGTTTAATCCTGTCACCAGATACAGTTACAGTATAACACGGACAAGTCAAACACAGAAGACTGTACATCAAACACCCGTCGAACTGTGCCTGCCGTCCCGTTTCTTTTGTCTTCTTTACCTTTGTAAGATATCCTTCAAATTACTTAAGCCAGTCCCGACAAATTCGAGCTATCCGTGTTATACTGTATAAAGCTGCCCCCGTGGTTTTATGCACCCCGCATAATTTTTAGCAAAATTTGATCGTTTTTTGCATAATTTCTGATTATTTTCCTTTATCATTCTTTGTTAAAATTAACTTTCAGAATCGCATAATTTCACATTTTTGGGCTCAGTTTGCATAATTTAAGAATTTCTTTGGCATAAAACCGCGGGGGACAGATAATGCCATAGATGTAGAGATATGAATCAAAGCAGTTTTACAACGGTGGGGTTGGAGGGAGCCGCCGGTAGGTCCTACTCTTTACTGAGACTGTCGTTGTTTACTACACCTCACACCGCAGACATCTCAGGCGAAAGTTTTTTCCTCAGCGGTGCCTTTCTTTGTGACTTGCCAAGTCTCTTTTCTGTACATACGCTTTGCCGCAAACTTCACACTTGTAAGGTTTCTCTCCGGTGTGAGTTCTTTTGTGACAAGTTAAACTGTAGCTGGTTGTGAACCGTAAATCACAAACATCACACTTGAAACGCTTTTCCCCAGTGTGTATTCTTTTGTGAGCGTTTAGATAATAGCGAAACGTAAAACTTGAGCCACAAACATCACACTCATACGGCTTTTCTCCGGTGTGTATTCGTGCATGACTCTTTAGCCGGTGCCTTTGGGCAAACCTTTTTCCACAAACTTCACACTTGTAAGGTTTTTCTCCTGAATGACTGTGTTTATGCCTGTAAAGTTTGAACCTATCTGTAAACTCTGCGCCACAAACTTCACACATATAAGGCTTTTCTCCAGTGTGTTTTACCTTGTGATTCTTAAGACTGCAACTGTAGGCAAAACTTAAACCACAAACTTCACACTTGAACAGCTTTTCTCCCGTGTGTGTTTGTTTATGCCTCTTTAAATTGCTGTTACTTCTGAACCATGAACCACAAACTTCACACTTGTAAGGCTTTTCTCCACTGTGTGTTTTTTGATGACTCCTTTTGCAGGAAACCCTTTTACCACAAACTTCACACTTGTACTTAGGTTTTTCTCCAGCATTTGTTTTTTTGCCACTCACAAACTCGGGTCCATCGGGGAGACCGGCGTCATTTTGTCCAGCGTGACTCTCTTTGAGAAGTTGAGGTAATGTAACATCAGAAGACTGCGTACAATTCACGGAAGTGGCGAGAGACTGGGCGCGAGAAAGATTCAAGTTTGAAACGTGACACTCGGACAGTCCAACAATGTCAGAGCTGAAGCCACATGGCACGCTAGACTTTATGGCAATAGGCCTACCTTCTTCATTGACCCATTTTTCTTCAGATACCTGAGTGGGCATATGAGTGACATAAATTACTTCCATATTGGTGTTCAGCTTTACTGTCTTTATTGTAGAAGTGCAATCTTTTGGCTTCTGGCCATAACCATCATTTACACCTTTGGAGTGCATTTCTCTATCATACGCTTTGCCATGATGGGGATCAAAAGCTTTCTCTGGGTCAAGGATAACAGAAGAAATCCTTTCTTTACTTGGGTCTGAACTCTGCTCCATACACAAACTCCAAACATCAGAGATCTGCAGTTGCATTCCTTCAGCTTGACTGGAATGATTCAACACAGGTTCACCCTCCGGCTCCAACACTTCCTGCTTCACATTATAATTCTCCACTTCAGGTTCCACTTCTAGACTATGACCTGTGTAAAGTTCAGACTGTAGTTCTTCTTTCACAACAATATCAGCACTTTTTGAGCACTGGACAGATCTAGCTGATATTTCTTGTTCTTCAGGAAATAAAAACAAAGGCTCCTCTTTAATCTCAATGTCACTACATTTGTTTTCCACAGCCCGTCTGCCATCATCATTTTCACTGCATGGTACTTCAAAATTACGCTTTATTTTTCTATCAAAAGGTTCACTTTCGACAGCAGCAGTACTTTCCTCTTCCAGATGTAGCATCAAGGTAGAACCAAACTCTTCCATTACCTCAGTCCCCACACTTCCAAAGTCAGGTTTTACATCTCTATCAATGCTGTCACAGCTACAGCTACAATGAGATCCAGGTTCAGTTTTCACAACTGGGAAATCATCAGGCTTTCGGTCTTCGTCTACCTCAGGTGTACAGAAAGGTTCACTACATAACTGTTCTTTCTTGGTAAGACCATCATCAGTAATACGTCCTGGGTAAAACATTGTCTCCTCCTGACTCGGTCCATCCACATTCAACTCGTCTCTTTGATCATCAAACTTGTTCTTGGAACCACAGAGACCTGCCAACTTTAAAATAAAAAAATTATAAGCCTACCGCTACCTGTGTCACCAAATAGTCGGAAACAAGGAAAATCCTTTAAATTTTCAAACCCCCCCGAAGTCCAAGATCCAAAAATTCATTCCATTGATCGGAATCAAGACATAAACTCAGTACTATCCACCATGACCAATGCGTGCCAAAAAAAGCTATGACTTGAGTTAATATTCCACTCACAGACTCACTTACATTCTCTTCGGTTTTAACTCTATAGTCTGAACAACACCAAATGGACAACTTGTTGACCTCATCACAGAGAAACTAAGTGGTGAATGGCCCTGATTTTTTTGTATGTGCCTTTGAATCTTTTTTTTAAATTTTAAAATCTCGATTTTCGAGCATTTGTGACAAATAATTATAAAGAGGTGTTTTCTATTAGTCAAGAGTATTTAATTACAGTTTGTGCTGGGATTTTCTTTAAGAACAAGAACGGTAGTTGAGTGACATGCCTATTGGCGCTTCAAATTTAGCACTCTGTTGACCCCTGGTTTTGGGTTTGGTCAAACTGTATCACCCCCCCCCCTCCTCCCCCCCTCCCCCTCGGAAATTTCTGGCTGAGCCCCAGCAACGACACCCTGTATTGTTTATGGTTTTAGCATTGTACTGTGCTTGCTATAAAAAGAGCGTGGTGTTGAGTTTAATGAGCAATTAATTACTAATAATTATATAGACAGCACCTCTTTATTTTTGTCAAATACGCGAAAATCGAGATTTTTAAAGGTCTTTTAGAATTCAGAAGCGCATGCAAAAAAATCAGAGAGATTCGCCTATTAAATTCGGAGTCATGAGGTCGGCAAGTTGTCCATCTGGTTGTGTCCAGACTATAATACTGAAGTCTGAACTGAACACTGACACTATCAATATCATCCCTGGTCACAGTCACAGTCTCCGAGTTTTCCGGTATCTAGAGTCTAAATGTAGCGTTTCTATTTCACACAAAACATTACAGAGAAGGACTTCCGTAACGAGCGACCACCCCATCAAACACAATAAAGAAGAGGCCTAGACCTAACCCTAACCCTACCCCTAACCCTACCCTTACACTTACCCCAAGCCCTCAATTCTGCTCTGTCTCATAGTGGTCGCTCGTTACGGAAGTCCTCCCCATTATAGATCTACTAGATCTAATACTATGTACATGATCCATCTTGTTATTCTAATACCGAGTAAACACTACGACAATATTGAAAAGACGGAATAATTCCATGAGTCAAGCGTAAAAGTAAAACTGTTAGTCACAGTCAAACGGCATCCTTGGCTGTTCGCTTACTTACAACATGCAGGCCTATCCGCTATCTTATGTTTCTGAGTCTGATCTGAGAAGAGCAAACCGGATGTGAAGAGTTTGCAGCACAGCAGTTTTGGCAGTATAGAACTTAAAGAGGATTCGTTCACTTCATGTGTGCGCTTTCAAGTCTCTGACTCTGAAGTAATATAATTGAAGGGGTTAGAATGAAAAAGGAATCTGCCATTGGACTGATTTCGATAACAACAATGTAAAAAAAAAAAAAACTGTGTAGCCTGAAGGAATTACGAAGACAAACGAAAGATGATAATTATTACAAATGGAAAAAAAAAGGAAACACATCGCCCGAAACTGAAGGAGTCCAACTCCATATAAACAATGGACTTATACCTGTTTAATTGTATTTGTATTTTAAATAAACTTTGAGTAAAAAACTTCTTCTTTCATTTCTTTTGTATCTTTTTTCCCCAACTGTTCTATTCTGACTCCAACACCTGATTTTTAAAGTTGAAAAAAGAACAGCACGTCAATACAATAACCGTCATTCAATGATATAATGCTGGGAAAAAGTAAGACAGACAGACAGAAACAACAGTGGGAAAGTAAAGAAGCAGGGCCTACCAGCAGCACCCTCCACACAGACAAAAAGAACAAGGAGAAAGAAAAGAAGTGGAACCTACTAGTGACACCCTCCAACCATCCATACAGACAGAAACAACAGAGGAAGAAAAGAAGTAGGACCTGCCGAGCGGGGCCCTCTAACCACCCACACAGACAGACAAAAAAACCAAGAGAAAGTAAAGAAGTAGGACTTACCAGTAGCACCCTCCAACCACCCACACAGACAGACATAAAAGAGGCAAAGTAAAGAAGTAGAACCTACCAGTGACACCCTCCAACCACCCACACACACAGACAGAAACAACAGAGGGAAAGTAAAGAAGTAGGACCTACCAGTGACACCCTACAACCACCCACACAGACAGACACAAAAGAGGCAAAGTAAAGAAGTAGGACCTACCAGTGACACCCTCCACCCACCCACACACACAGACAGAAACAACAGAGGGAAAGTAAAGAAGTAAGACCTACCAGTGACACCCTACAACCACCCACACAGACAAACACAAAAGAGGCAAAGTAAAGAAGTAGGACCTACCAGTGACACCCTCCACCCACCCACACACACAGACAGAAACAACAGAGGGAAAGTAAAGAAGTACAAACCTACCAGTGACACCCTCCAACCACCCACACAGACAGAGGCAACAGAGGCAAAGTAAAGAAGTAGGACCTACCAGTAGCATCCTCCAACCACCCACTAAGAAGACCTGGCTGAGAGAAAAATAACAGCAGTCAAGTGTACTGGTTTTCCCTCAACTCCATATAAGTAAAGTTTTGTCTGTCTTCTTAGCAATTCACTGCAGGGAAAAACGAAACACACCTCTGGATCTATAGAGCGTCTTTTTGTTGTTTCTTTCATGCCAGTGTTGAGTATAAAAGATATAACTTTGTGCTGTTTTTGAATGAAAGTGAAACAAAACTTGAGTATTGGCGGTTTTACCACTGCTGCGACCTACGAAACGAGGTCATCAGCACACTGTATCCTCGGCGGTATCGTACAATGCTATAATCAATTGTTATAAATAAATTCAAGAGGTCAATGATCGCAAGGTAGGAGAATATCAAATTATGCCTTTAAAACAGGTGGTGTGCACATTGACATTGCTAATATTGTATTGAGGCGCTGAATTTTCATCCGGAATTTTAATCAACGGTACAGAATCTATAATATTCTATGTACTTTATAATACAACATGAATCTCTGTCTGGTTCTTTGTCTCACTTTACTCTGTCTAACAAGTCAGCCTTCGCCCCTGCACACATTATGATATTTATACAAGAGGCTGGGTTCCCGTGCGATGAACGGACTCAAAAGAATTGATCGTCAAGTGCCCCCATATGTACGTCTCCTTTTTGAAATTGCCCACTGTGTACTGCATAGGCCTACAGCTGGGCCTGGGCCTAACAGTTCATATATGGTGTTGTTGTGTTTTCAATTTCATTATTTTTAACTCCTGCAGTAGGCCTCAGGCTACTGGTAGATTCTCTAGATGTATTATGTTTAGACTCTATTTGTTAATACTGTTATAAAAAAGGCGACTCTATTTTTCCGAACGTTTGGGAAAATAAACTTGAACTTTATTTCTCCTAACGATTTCCGTTCTCGAGATTTGTTGATAATTTATAAGCGAATGGAGTGGCCCATGTGTGTGTGTGTGTGTGTGTGTGTGTGTGT